AAAATCACAATTTGGAGAGCAACTACCCGAAAAACTAAAAAACTTCTACACTAAAGTGGATTTATTTTCGCATCAGCGATTGTTTTACGTGATAAGATTACAGTAACTTACGTTATCCACTTAAAATAACGAGCGAATGGTAGGACCAGAATATGTAAGTAATTGCTTCAAGAATAGCAAAGAGGTTCATCCCTGATGAGGATGGCACTCTCATTTGCCTAGATCTTGGTGATAATCTTTCAAAAGAGGACCACATTTAAGGCCAGAACTTTGATCACCGGTGGAAATAAACTTGTCGTAATTAAATTCATTACAGGTCTGTGCTAATTTTATTGGGGTGATAAATATTAACATGAATGAATTTGTGTTTGTAGGAAACGATAAAAATTAATTAAGTAAATTACTGAGTGGTATTCTCGACCAAGTAACTTCCCCATAAAAATATTTGGGTTATATAGTTTTCTCATAATTTTTGGTAGTTTTTAAATTTTCTTCAATTTATTCGGTGTTACAGCTAACCTAGCAAACGATTCTAACTAAGCACGATACACAGCAATAATACTCTCTGAAAATTGCTCGCTTAGATTTATAACGCATGCTTGCTTCCACAGAAACCGCCTTTTCCATTTTACCTATGCTCTGCTTATTGTCGTACAATAAAACTTTATGAGATGTGAAAACGTTTTAAAGTAAGTTTTTTGTTACTTCATACACGTATGTAGTTAGTGCATGTAGTCTCGCTCGCAAGGTATATAAAATTCAATTTAACGGCTGTCAGGAGTATTCTTACCGAAGAGAATATCCTAAATAAAACAAGATAACTTCAGAACTTAATATCTTTATGTTGTATTTATTGACTAAGAACTGTACTCGCAAAGTGAGAGGATTCTAGTTCTGGAAACTTCTCCAGTAGCTGAAAAATAATCAGAAATAATTTGAACTGAATTTACAACATTTCTAAAAATCTGTTTTTTATTCGTATATTTTTCTGTCGAAGAAGTTAATGAAAGATACTGTAATTTTAAAAACTCTTTTAGTTCACATGATAATCCCACCAACGTGTCCAAAACTATAATATTTTAAACAAAACTTGTGAAGTGGAGTTGAAAGTTCATAACCCTATTGAAGAATCAAAGAAACGTTTTCTGTAAAATGTAGCTGAGGATCTTACGAAGAAAGTAGAGACAGAATTTCAAAGTTGGAAGAAAAATCTATTGTCAGTGAAATACTAGTTAGTATTTGTTTTAGTTTAGTATTATCAGCGAAAGATAATAAATGGTGATCTGAACTCTTCGTTTTTAGTATTATCTGAATCTGAATCGTTTAATAATCTTCAACAATTTTTTGTTTTCTTTTTATACAAAAATGCTATCATAATGTAATTTTTGGCAGTTTTTGCAACAAAGTTCCTCAGGGTATACCGTATGATGATTTTTCGCAAGTTGGTTGGTTTGGCAAGATTTAATTTTTTTGTGATAATCCCTATATTTTAAAGTAAAGATATGTTTGCAATTTTGTGAAAATTTGGTTGTTATTGTTGTTTAATCAATAAAATAAATTGCTTCATTCATTTATTCAAAATAAGGTATTATTCACAGCCACCATATACATGGAGGACTCGATTTTGCATTGCTACAAACGCATTATTCTAAAAAACCATAAACTCAGAACACAAACTGACGAAGACGGACGGTCACAACTCTTAATTTATTATTGTTTTTGATTGTTTGATAACTTACCTAATTTTTTTAATCCAGAAATTCTGTCCTAGCATTTTGTAACGAGATTTTTTTAACACAAGTTAATTGGTTCAAAGTTATTTATTACACCCCCTGAAATATGGTCCAACAAATTCAACTTATTGGAAAAATTGTAAAATTAAAATTGCCTCTATAATTTAAGTACGTATTGTATTTAAAAACCAGCTTTACTACGAGCAATATTCAATAATAAAAAATTATAATAAAAATAAACAAAATAAAGGCAAGTTCATAAACTAAAAGTACAGGAGTATGTTATTTCAAAATTTTCCAATTTTTGTCGAGTAGTTTGTAGTTATAGTATCGCTATTTTATTAATATTAGTCCTGGTAATTAATTTCCATTTTTACCCCTTTTTGTGGTTTGATCTTTCATTAAAAAACATGAGGAAACTTTGGCATATGACTTTAATTACAAAATAATAATTCTAGCCAAAATCAGCTTTTTTTTTCTTAATATACCTACATAGCCGTCTTGTCAAAACAAGAAACTTAAAACATGGTTAAATGGTACATTTTTGCAAGAAAATATGGATTTTGCAATTATGGGGCGGGGCCTAATTGCAAAGTCGATATTTCTTTATACAAATTTTCCATTTTAAATATGTTTTAAGTTTCTTGTTGTGTAGGTAGTTTCATGTTGTGTAAAAAAAAGTTTATAGTTATTAAAACAAAAAGGCAAAATGTAAGCCCGCCCACCCACCCTATCTCAATTGTGATGATTCTTTTTTTACTCGCCGTTAACCAAGGGGGTGGAGCTTAACTGCAAAATATTTCTTTCTTTCTAAGTAATTAAAAACATGTTTTTGTGTATCGTGTTGTTCAAAGAATACTATGCATATTAAGAAAAAAGACGAAATATAAACCCCGCCCGCCCACCCTATCTCAATTGTAATGATTTTTTTTATTCTTAGAAACTCAACACACGGTCAAAATGGTAAATTTTCGTAAGGAAATATGGATTTTGCAATTAGGCAGCGTCCCTAGGTCTGCGAACGAATGAAAACTTCAGGGCAGGTCTGGGTGGGACTTAATCTTTGGCTTTAATTTTTTTCTTAATATACATAGTATTGTTTGAATAACACGATACTCAAAAACATGTCTTACATGGTAATTTCTTGTAGAGAAATAATAAGGATTTTGTAATTAAACTCTCGACTATTAAAAAAAATCATCACAACTGAGATAGGGTGGGTGGGTATATTTTGCTTTTTTTTTTCTTAATATGTGTAGACTTGATTCGGCAACAAGAAACTTAAAACATGTCTAAAATGGGGCAAAAGTTGAACATCAAAGTTACCATCAACGGCAACTTGGCAACGGAGTTTATAAATGACAATTTTCACCTCTAAAAGCAATTTTTTAATTCTTGGGTGTTTCGATTTTTTAAGTTTCTGGTTTTTCAATTTTTCGTTCCTTCTATTTTTCAATTTTTTAATCTGTAGATAATCTAAATTAACCGGTAATTCAAATTTTCATGTCTTCAATTTTCTGATTTGCAATTTTTCTAGTTTTCAATTTTTAGTTTTAAGTAATCAAGTTTTCGTTTTTGCATTTTTAAATTTTGGACAAAATGTGCAAGTTTATTCAAACTAAAATGACGTGTAGACAGAAAGGACGAAAATAAAACTGTGTTATAGAAATATAGATATAGGTATTGGCAGAGTTCAACAATGTCGTTAAAAATTAATTTTTCGGGTTTTTTCTTTTTTAATTTACCTAACTTGTTGTAAGATTATGTTGGTGTTAAAAAAAATAATTTTATGATTAACTTAAACCACAGTGTTGTTTGCTCAACTTATAAAAATTTAGGACAGATTTCTACAACGCTGCCTCAGAATTCAAAAGTCGTATATTCATGGCGCTAAACTTTACAAGTCTCATGAATTTTAACCGAATTGCGTTCCAGTAGAGTGCACAACAAGCGTATACTTTTGAATTTATTTATTGCAGTATTTGTGTTTTGAAATCTTTTAAATGATTTACTGAAAAGAAAAAAACAGTGATCTTAACTATTCGTCTCCTAAAATTATTGGAAGTTGCTCAAGAATCTTATAAGATTATCTTTCTTCAAAACAAAATGTCATCATGATGTAATTTTTGACAGTTTTTTGAAATTCGGCTAAAGGTGTAGTGCTTTTACGACATTGACTCCATTAGTAGGTATATAATACATAATTTTACTTTTTATTCTTATAGGAAAAGGTCTTGGCCAGACAAGCGGATTACCGTCAGTTAAGTAGCAATTAACATAACTGCACTATATCTTTAGATGAACTATATATAAAATAAAGCTTCATAGAATATATCTCTCTTTGATGATTTTTTATGAAATTTAAGAATATATAAATAGTCTAGAATTTAGTATACAGTGCTTGTAAATTTTTATAATGACGCAGGGAGAAAACCTTATCCACAGGAATCAAATGAATGGATTTCTTTTTCAATTTTAAACCATTTATAATTTATAATGACTGGAAAATCAAAATTTTAAAACCATTTTGATTATTCTAATAGACTCAATAATCTTATCACATTAATGTTTTAGAAAGATTACTCATTTAAAAGCTGTCATTATCACATTTCATTTTTGTGGGTAGTTTTTAGTTTTATATTAGTCGTAATATTTTTTTATCAATTTTTGTGTCATTTTATAGTCTAGAATAATTTTGACAACGACCTTGAATTACAAAATAATTTCACCTTTACATTATCAGAGAAGTGAGCTTTAAAATAAATTGTCAAAAGGACAATAATTTTTTATTTAAAAAAACGTGAGAATAAGAGGAAAATAATCAACACTGTGATAGAAAAATACTCATCATAATTTTGGATTTTAAACTGTGGAATTATAGCACAAAATTTGATTAGACAGTATGATTGTTATCTTTCCGACGTGAAAAAAGCTTTCAACTGGTGTAACATACAGTGGGTAATGTAATCTTATTTAAGACACTTCAAATGGTAGTGTAACCAATTTTGCGAAAATCGGGATACCTGCGGTAAAAAAAAGGGCGGATTTATGAACTACAAGTACAGGAAGTGCTATTTTATAAAATTTAAGAGAATTTACCATGCACAACTTTGAGATGACGTCATCAAATTGTTGGTGGAGATATTCCTAAAATTGTCATAAAATTTGACGACAAACGGTCCAGTAGTTTCGGAAATTATCTGTCAAATACAAATGGATACAGACGACAGATGATAGATAGACGGAAACGGGAGACCAATTTTTCCAATGTCTAGGAGCCATGAAACATCGATAGAACATATAGCCGTTCGACGGATGGACCGTATCACAATATTTCCTTGGTTTACACTCGAAAAATAAAAAAATGTGTTTTAAATATTGCGCAACTCTACTTCTAGCAAAAATCGTCAAATTTTCACCTGTGCCACCTTCGTCGCCCCACCCCGCTTTCCCCGTTCAGTCAAACAACTTCGTCCACCGTGAGCAACCCATTCCCGCCAACAATACCAACTTCGTACCTCTTTATCAATTTACCCAGTCTCGTTGTTCCCACAATCGCAAATTCCATTACCAGCGGCCCCATCCTCGGGCGCTCTTGGGCCCGTTTCCATATTTAGTCAGTATTAATGTCAAAGCCATAAATTAACAAAGACGTGGCGGCCGCGATTGGCCCTCGAAGGGTGACGTCGTCGGCCGCCGCCAATGAAGGGGTGTCTGCGAGGGCGCGTGCCTCGACGCAAGCCCGCCCCCGGCCGAAATCCCGCGCCGCCAGATTACAGCGTGGGCTGCGTCTCAGGAGCGGTCGTTCGTAGCGGGAGTGAGCCAAACAGTGCACCTGGACGTCGGCACCGTGGAGACTCGCGCCGGCCAGCACGGCCCAGGAGGCCTACTCGGAGATTCGCGAGTCGCTAACAACATTCGCGGTTTCTTCGCCACGAGGATAGGAAGCGCGCTACCGGACACAGGTAAGAACATTGATTCAAATTTTGTCGAAAAACGTAGGGTTGTCGGGGTTTTTCCGTGGGAAAGTTGCGTCGGTCGGGCTGGGGGCTGCTTGCGAGGGGCTCAAAATGGCGACCGGTGCACAAGATGGCCGAAATCAATAGACACGTTACGTAATGCATAATTGAGGAGCCATGTTAATGGTCTACCTGCGGCTGAAAGGCATTGTCTGGTATTTGTATCGAATGGCGGGTACTGACGTAAAAATCAATGCTTCCATATATTTGATTTTACAAAAAAAAAAAACATCATTGTGGTGTAAAATTTCTGCGTTTTTGAAGTTATTAGGCTAAAAAATAACAGTTTTTGAAGTTACAATATTATGGACGCAAAAATATTTGAGATCCATTGAGATTATTAGGCAGGCGCTGTTCTATATTTGTTCCTTCTGGATGTCAAAAATATTTATTTCTTTGGTAAAACAGACACCAGAAACTTCTATAATGACAAGACAGACATCTCAAAATTTCTGTTTGATACTCATGGCATGACAATTTAAAAGCGATTACAAAAGCAAGTCGTTCCTGTTGTCCCCATCAGTACTGAGACGCTTTTGACTACCTTAGGAATTTATGTTGTTTTTCAGATACCAGTCAATATTGAATTAAAAACGATTTAAAGTATGGTGGAGACTAGATTTGTCTAGCAATTTTAGGTTATGACGCTGTAATGGCATCAGTTTCAATCTTTCGTAAATGCTCCTCGTATTCATTGACTTAAGGTCTATGTGTTTTGTCTAAAATACTGGCATCATCAAGGTGATGATGAAGAAATACTATATACTTTTATGAAAACATTGAAAGCATCAAGATGATTGCTTCATGTATATTTTATTCAGTGGTTGGTAAATACGCGTCATGAGATCATTATACGTTTGTGGGGACCCTATTTTAAGAATGTATATACGAATTGGTAGAAATAATACATCAAAAAACGTTAAATCTATGAGAATGGAAACCAGCGTTTAAAGTTGCATTAATTGTTAATGAGTATTGACTAAATACAAAATCAATTGAAAAACTGAAATATTTATATCTATACACAAGACAACAAAATTATATAGAAACTGTGATAAATCTTGATAAAGACCTGGAGGGATTAAACATATCACAAAGATTTTCATACTTCTTACTACAAAAGCAATTATTTTGCCGCTTCTTCGAGACATCGTTCATCTGTAAATTTCAGCAGCAAAATGATAAGAAAAATAATCTAAACTTTCGGGCTGTGAACTCAGGGAAAACAATATTTGATTTGAACATCGAAGTTCCAACTTTTTGGTGTCCCTGGACAGTTGTCAACTTTAGATTTCTCAAATGGGAAATTCCATTTGTTTGCTTTGTCAACTTCATCGTCTAGCACCAACAGAAGGACGATTTTTGTTGTTCGAAGCTACCATAGAAGAAAAATTTCAGAAGAATATGTTAATTTGAGAACGCGGTTTTTGCTCCATTTTGTTTGAGATCTAAAGGGAAAAACCGCAAAAATATAGAAATACTTACTTAATACAGTTATAGTTCTTATAATCACGAAGTCCTAAACCATAGAATGCTCGTACAAAATCTTTAGAAAGCCAGTGCTGCGCAAACACAGCTGTTGTTTTAATTTATACCATGGCTGAATGAGAGTTCATGTAGAAGTTTCTTGTTATAAAACTTAATTCACTTATTATTAAGGCCATTAGACAAGAAAATTGGGTAGAACTTTTACTGCAGGAAGTAAACTCATAGTCCCAAATTTTTGGACCTCTCCTTAGAAAAGTATGAAAGTTTGAACATATAATAAAACACAAGAAAATGGAAAAAACCAATTTTGCTTTTCCACTTCCAGTTTCTCAAATGCCATCAGTAATTTCAAAAGCTGGTTTGACTACCGTACCACATTTTAGTCAAAATTATTTAGAATGTCAAAATTCGACTTAAACTCAGTAATTTTCTCTAGTATAATCGAAAACTATCAGAAAATTACGATATCTTGGTACTTTCTCCAGTAGTTGAATCATTACCAAAATATTCATACTTCTATTTCACTTTCTATTACTGGTAATTTGAATTTCGAAATTTTGTACCTTGTCGATTTTGACAATAATAATAAAACTGTGTTAGTCTTTTGTGTTGTTTACAATGTTGCAGAAAAAAGGACAGCCCCCACTTCAGCAGAATAAGATATAACCAGAAAATATTTTAATTGTTGTAAGTGGAAGAAATTTATTTTATATTAAACTGCAGTTCAGAAGCATTTATAAAGCAAATTTTACACAAAAAGCCTACGAGTTTAACTAGTAACGTCAGGAGATTTATATATTAATATATAAGATTGACTACGCAGCTACATAACCTAAATATTGCGGGTCGCGTCATTTCCACCACTTTCTATAAGAGTGAACATCAAAGAGTGACGGATACGACCATCATCTGCGTTGAACACTCTATCTTCATTTTTAAACATTTGTAGACTCTAAAGCATCTAGAAACCTATGACTAAACTCTTAAAGGAGCTTTGTGTTCTTTGAAGTTATGATGGCTGATTTTTTTATTCGTTCCTGTTGACGATCATTTTTATTTTGAATTTCTTAACGTGGTTTTATTTGGGGAAAAATTAGGATCCTTTACCCAAAAACGTTTTTCTTCTATAGGCACAGGACACCGGTATTTCTAAAAGCATTAGTTGCCATTGGTGCCTTTTGTTAAATTCATTGTTTAAAGTCGTCTTTAAGTTCCACCATGTTTGTTAAATTTTGTCTAAAATATTTGGAGGGTAGTGGGTTTAACGTTGATGATTTTATCTCCCACTTCTCTCTATTTAGTTTGGGGGCAATTATGTAGTCAAACTTTGTAAAAAATTTTGGGTTTTTGCTTTAAATTTGGTGCAAAATTATGAAGCACATCTTTGGACTCTAAAATTTAAACCAACTGGAATTCACCTTGTATTGTTTCCTATACTTATGTAGATATTATCAAAAGTTTACAGTTTTACCGAAAACCGACTTATTTAGATCAGCAATCACCTGCACGGTAAAATAGTATCGAATATAGTGTGTCAATGTTACTATACCTAGTGCTATAAATATTCTAGCTTTTTTTCTGCCGCAATGTTTGTCCTTTTTAGCGTAGCTGCTTTCGACAATTTAGCTAAAAGTATAATAAGAAACTTCGTTCTGTGCGCTTTAACCTCCGCGATCCTAAAAAAAATACGGGGTGCGGGGGGTCAGCGCAGTGCCTCCCCACCCGGCCGTAGAAAGACTCTAATATATGTTCTATGTCCAGGTTAACCCGATGGCACTGCGCTCCCCCGTCCCCTCCGAATCGCTCTAAGTAACCACGTCGCGCAATCCGCTGTCTGCTTGCTGGTCTTTGGCCGCCATGACGACGATTCCGATCATAAACATGGAGTTCGGGGAGCTGAAGGAGGTGGTGTGGACCAAGCTGCAAGAACCGCGCACCCAGCGGAAACTCATCCTAGTAATAGTGTCCATCGCCCTGCTCCTGGATAACATGCTGTACATGGTGATAGTACCCATCATCCCCGACTATCTGCGATACATAGGTGCCTACAACGACGAAGCTATCCAACTTCCGGGAAACTCGACACTTCCACCAGGTACTCCGTACAAACACGACCACCACGGCCAGGACCAGGCTACCGGCATCCTATTCGCATCCAAGGCGATCGTCCAGCTCATGGTCAACCCCTTCTCCGGGGCACTGATCGACCGCATCGGCTACGACATCCCCATGATGATCGGGCTCTGCATCATGTTCCTCTCGACGGCGGTGTTCGCGTGCGGCCGCAGCTACGGCCTCCTCTTCTTCGCGCGAAGTCTTCAAGGGGTCGGCTCGGCCTTCGCGGACACCTCGGGGCTGGCCATGATCGCAGATCGCTTCACGGAGGAGGCCGAGCGTTCCAAGGCGCTCGGCATAGCGCTGGCCTTCATCAGTTTTGGCTGCCTGGTGGCGCCCCCTTTCGGGGGCGCGCTATACCAGTTCGCGGGGAAAGAAGTGCCGTTCCTCATTTTGGCGTTCGTGTCACTGATGGACGGCTTCATGCTGCTCTTGGTGATGAAGCCTATCAAGACCCAGTTGAAGGAGTCGGCGCTGGCCAAGCCCCCTTCGGTGCCCATATGGAGGCTCTTCATGGACCCGTACATCGCCGTGTGTTCTGGGGCGCTGATGATGTCCAACGTGGCCTTGGCGTTCTTAGAGCCGACGATCTCCTTGTGGATGGAAGACAACCTTACTACCGACAACTGGAAGATTGGGATGATCTGGTTACCGGCGTTCTTCCCGCACGTCTTAGGCGTCATTTTGACGGTGAAGATGGCGAAGAAGTACCCCCATTATCAGTGGTTGATGGCGGCGGGGGGACTCGCGTTGGAGGGGCTCTGCTGTTTCATCATCCCCTTCGCCAACTCCTACAAACTTCTCATGATCCCGATCTGCGGTATCTGCTTCGGCATCGCCCTCATAGATACCGCCCTTTTGCCTACCCTTGGTTACCTGGTGGACGTGCGATACGTTTCGATCTACGGCAGCATCTACGCCATCGCCGACATTTCATACTCGGTTGCGTACGCTGTGGGACCTATCATAGCCGGAGGCGTGGTGGAGGCAATAGGTTTCACGGCCCTCAATGTTGGCATCGCTTTCTCCAACCTCTTGTACGCTCCAGTATTAATGTACCTCAAGCACATCTACGATTTCAAACCGTTCGAAAACGAGGCAAACATCCTCATGTCCGATCCACCCAACAAAGAGTACCAGACGTACTCCATGCAAGAGCAAAAACCCGTTTCTGGAGAAATACAAAACCATCTAGAATACAAACAACAAGAAACTAATTTCGACGCTAACGGTACCTACCAGCAGCAAGGGTACGCCCAACAGTCGTACCAACAGAACTACCAGCAAGAAGTACCGTCTTACCAACAGCCGCAACCGCCACCTAGGCCTCCAAGTTGGAACCAGCAGCAACCGGAACCGTCAAATCCGAATCCGTTTCGACCGGCTGAAGCAGGGCGAAATCCTTTTAGGCAAGGTTTCTAAGCTCTCTGTGTATATTGTATATTTGTGTAAGTGTCCCTGGGTGTTAATTATTCATATGTGTACATATCACACCAAATGTTCCTCAATTGTACATATCGGCTGACCTCACACAGCACCGGTGTTTAGTTGTTCTGGAAACCCCTAGTCTACAACAGCAACTTGTAAAGTCACTATACTCCACAATTTCAAAAACAGGTATATTCAAGCATAGCAGGCCATTTTCTACTTGTGAGTAGTGCAAGTTGTAGATTTCATTCTAGTAATAGTCTTGTCATTGTGTTTTATCCGTTGGTTCGTAGGATAGGGTTTTCGTTCTGTTTGAGATTGTTTCAGAATTTTTATAATTATATCAACTAAGATCACATACATATCAGAATCGAAGGATTCGCTTGTTATATCGTGATAGGTCGAAATTTTGGCCACTTAACTTTAGACTAGAGTAGGTTAGGTTAGTTTATGATAAGTCACTAAGTAGCCCGCATCACACCCCCGTCTCCTCTACCATTTATATATTATTCAAGTTGGATTTTATTGGTATAGCTCTCGACTCGATAGTGTCAATTCCCTTGTGTATAGCGTATATGTGCAAAATGATCAAAGTGTTATTTTGCCGTTAGTATAAATACGTTCGGGAACCAGAAAAATTGCTCAGCTATGTAGATATTCAAATATATGTAAATTTAACCCCGAATCTTTAACCTAAAAATGATGTTGAATCGACCCTTTTGACAAACATATTTTTGGTTGACGGCAACTATATATAATGTGGACTTGAGGTAAAAGTAAATCGACTATGATGAGTACTTAAAAAAAATGGCTTCGTACCGACATAGTAGATTTAATTATGGTCACTTCGCTTGTAGTCTGGACTAAATACAGTTGAAAAAAACCCGCTTGTGGAATTTTACATCTTGTATTTGGTTCGAACTCGTGTCGAATGGTTTTTTCTTACTATTAAAATTAACTAATAAATTTATTCCAATTTAAATAACAAGGAGAACTAATAAATAAAATCCAATAAATATATGTTCATAAAATAATGATACTAGACTATACTTGGTTAAAATTAAACTTTCTAAAACTGCTTGTAGTTGTCGTATGTAAGTATGTAACTAGTAAAGCAATAAAAGTCATAGAAGCCTTTTAAGTTGACCAAATAGCGCGGATTTACTTACCTACATCGAAAGATTATTAGGTGTATCTCTGTAAAGGTGCCTGTGAATAATACTATATAAACTGTAATTATTTGAGCTTATCGTTCTACTTTGCGTGCGTACCCTTCCAAGTCAACGAGATCGACTCTAGATCTCGTTGTGTTGGAACGAGTGTTAAAATTGACTGCAGCTTCTTCCATATCCCTTTAAGTGCCAACGAGGGCGACAAAGTACGATCCTCTCGTTGACCAGCTTTAAAATAATGTACTTCGTAGAGTTTTGGATATTTTGACATTCTCTCATTGTTTTGTAAAGTACTGATAGTCTAAACTGTTACTGATTGGAAAGAATGCATGTGAATAGATTCTAGTATAGGAAATATTTTACTGCAGTAACATAATATAGTCGTATTGTTTCAGTGTATAAAATCTATAATTTCAAACTGTGTAAAGGGTGCTGTTTAATGATAATTATTGTTGTTGTGAGCACCATAGGCTCTAACTGATTCTAACATTGAAAATGTTTATTTTGAAAGTTTCTCTTAGACTCTAGACTTGAAGTAGATAGTTCTAATATGTTGTTTATAGGACCAGTTGCAGCCTTCCGACATCTAAGGAGCAATCACATGTACTGACCGTTTATCGATATCTGAGTGGGTCTATTAAACTAATTGTTATTGAAAAGAAGTTTCTTTCCCTCCCCCAAACTTTCCAAAATCGATATTCATCCTTCATAACGAGCAAATTGTGTTAAAAATAAATTCCATCATTTACTTGTAATTAAAACATAGAGCACGTAGGGCAGCGTAATTGGCTAATTCTGTCGGTTCCATTGTATAACAGAGGGCAACCGCATAGCAAATCACCCCTAGTTCGTTATCTCTCAATATCGGAGGGTCGCCTCCAAGGGAATGCTTGTTTAGAGGTACTGTTTCTATCCGCCGTAATGAATTAAACGCAGCAGCCCTACCTTCCACAGTCGAATATACATTAGCGTAATTAGGGGTTGCTTTTCGTCCTCCAATAAAACACAAAATTTCTAGATGTTTCAACTAGTCCGGAAACGACGTAAGTGCAACGTCGACATAAGGTGGTTTACGCCTCATAGAGTGCCCCCTTAACGACCCCACGATTATTGGAAGCGCCATAAATAACCCCCGTTAACATCTCATGTCTCTCGAAATGAACTCCTGCCCGGTCGCTGTTTATTTATGATTTAATTAAAGATCAAGCCTTGGTCAACACTCCGCTAAGAAGATGAAAGGGTAGCCCGTACTCCACGTCCTCTGAAGAGCCCTCAGCGTGTGTGTTCTTTTAGCGTGGTGCTTTATAAACAGAAACAGGACTCCCTAGAGACCGGGGGTCTGACCCGTTCTGCGAATAATCGATAGATTACAACGGCAGGGCTCCTGCTGGAATCACCTTTGCAATGTGACGAACTCCTAAAGGATTTTTTCCTTAACTTTGCTTACTGAAAATATCGACAAGGAGGATGAATAGAGATGCGGACCATTCACGGGTTTACGACACACTTGGCGAAATTGAATGTGTCAATGGGATTTTTCTGTGAAAAGATAAATTGGTGCACAAACTGACTTTCTCTGCAGGAAAATTCATTTCGTTCAGGTATGAAAAACTTCAAGGGGGAGCTAAATTAGATTTTATCGCGGTGTTGCGAATTTCTCACGTCCGCCATTAGGGATGAAGATTAGAATTGCAGAAATGGAGATTTGTTTTATGTCAGGCTTTTATGGATTGGAGTAATTGAAATTAAGAACGAGAAACGGCGAAAAAAACGCGGTGAGTGGAAGACCGAGTTGGAAAAGTAGGTAGCATTAAGTCGAGTGGGCCTTGACTTATTTGAAGTGTAAAAAAAAATTAACTTAATAACGCCTACTATGTCGTTGATAAGTATTAAAAATAACGGAAAACCGAGACTGGATCCCTGTGGAACCTCTAAAGTAGCTAGATATCTATAAGAAATATATATTTATTTACTCTGTCCTAATCTAACTTCTGCTATCTACGAGTTTTGTAATACATAATGGAAATAAAAATATTTCTGTTAGATGATCAACCAGAACCCCGCATCTAATAGCCGCTACATCAAAATCCAACTCAATAGCAAAGTTCTCGGTGTACCAAGTGTCACATCTGTAATTGAGGTGACATTCCCTCTCCTACCAGCCTAATGATATTACATGGTATTAGAAGATTATGTCGTTTATTTAGTGTCGGAAAGCAATTTTATTGGCAATTTAGAATGTTTGTGCAGCAGTGTCAACGTTGCGAATTCCGGCCTAACGATAATAAACGTCCTTTGAGTCCATATTTGCACCTATGCACCTAGGTACACAAATACACAAAAAAAGTTAACCTTCGCCGCAAATGCCGGTCTTTGATTAATAGCGTTTAATTAACCATTCGACTCCTTTTATGGAAGTTTGATGATGACATTAAGTAAGTGTAATAACTTTGGGTGTTGATATCTGTGGATGTTTAATATTGCTTTATTTTATGTCACACCCCATTTATGACTGTTGCAATAAATGCTTTATATTTCACGATGCACTCCCTACACAGAAAGGCTTTCGCTATTCCTGGCGTCACCCCGCATAAAGACACGGTGGAAATGCGGCACCGTTATGAATATTAATGCTCTGCGTTCTGTCATCACTGCAAGGATGAACAATAGAACGGTTACGTAAGCTATATTTATTTTCCTAAGCAGTAGGGGTCTTTCACATTATCCCTTGAGTTTATCCGGCACAACACGACCAAAGAAAATAGGATTTTTAAATGATTTTTGGATGGGTTTGATGCTGGGGGACGACGCAGTGGCGGGCGATTCATATTAAACTGCACCCCTTTATTCATTACTTTTCTGACATTTTAAATTAAATTACATTCTATCCGCAAGGTAGAAGAAATTCCAAGAGATTCATTCAGCAATGTCTTCAGATTAAGTTACAAAAAAATGTGGCTCTGTAGATATAATAAATCAAAAAATATATAATAAATCAAAAAAGAAAAAATCTGCAACGCCTAAATTTTAGATCGATAAATACAGAACTTATTGAGCTCCTGTTTTCGGAATTGAGAGTGCTTTGAACGAACTGGTAACACCACCGCAAAATCTTCTATATGTTATCACGCCAAGTACCATTAATAAAACTCGAAGAGGCCACATTCCCTCCGGATTTAAACTTTGAACAATTTCATAGTTGTGTCATTTTTTCTATATTTAGCATGTTGGAAAGTGTGACGTAGAACGATTTTAACAAACAAAAAAAAACCTGAAAGTAAGTACAAAGTGTTAATTTATTCAACGATAAAGTTTAACCTCGACCTTTATTGATTTTTAATGGTGTGTTCTTATTATATATTAATCTCAAGATACGTTATAAGAAATTCAGACGGCAAGTGAACCCTTAAAAATAATGCAACTTACGAAATTTAGAAAGAGTCAGAACAAATTCAATAAAAATGTGAAAACATTATCGGAAAAGAGGGAAAAAAGCTTCACCACGAATTACATTTTACCAATTTTCTGTTGAATGTGTAGAATTGTATTTTAAAACAATTGGACGCATTGCAAAACACAGCGTTTTGCTACAATTTTTTGAGATACATAACTATCAATTTTGGAAGATTGCGATCCTTTCATCAGAAATTATTTGAACTATGGATGCAAAGATTTAGAAACCTAAATAAGTAAATTTTCTGTAAGCATAATTAAGAATTCACACAGTTAGAAGTGTTGTTGAAATAATCTGTCTAGATCTGGATAAATACATTTTACATTCTGTTTTTTTTCTTCCTTTATGATCCTTGGATATAATGCAGATTTTTTTTTATTTCTTCCTTTTATTACTGTTTCTAAAATAAGGATGATCTTACTTACCAAAAATTGAACTTAAAACTCTATCAGTTTTAATAATTATATTCCCAGTTTTCCTTCGTAAAGCGATAAAATTGTTTAAGTATATATACCTACTACTAAAATTTAGTAATGTGAATAGCTGTTGGTATTTATAAATTATAAAATACAAAATGCAAGTTTTATATTTCCGTTGAATGAAACTGATTCTTTCAAAATTTTAAAATCTCTTAAAATTATAGTGGAGACAGCAAAATGTTAACCTTCTCCAAAAAAAAATCATCTCAAAATTTTGAAATATACCGGACGATTCACTAAGCGGAGGTACAAATCAGCAAAAATCGAGTAAGCAATTAAAAATTGTCAAAGTTTTCAAAACCTTACGTTTAAAATGCTCGCAGTTAATTTTAGGTCCCTTGGTGTTTGATTTTCTGATAAATTTAAAGGAAACTGTTGTTTTGTTGCTGGATGAACTTGAAAAAATCTTTTGAGCTTTCAGTGTTTTATTTTTTACGAATTTGAAAAGTCTTGAGTGCCGGAATGTTTTTTTTAACTCGGGACATTCTTAGATACCCATGGAAATTTTTTTTGTAAAATATTTAAAACAATTTTGGAGGACTTTGGTGCTCTATTTTTGGAAAATTCTGACCTGACCTATTTTTGACTTAATTTTGGGACCCCGTTTTTTTTTTTTGGAAAATTTAAAACAAATCTTGAGGTTCGAGGTATTCCTGTTTGGAAATAATTTGAAAGTGCTTTGGAGCCTCGTTAATAACTGAATTAAATTTCTTAGAGGATACGTCATTTGCTAAAATCAGACACTAGCCCCACCCGCCCACCCTCTGTTTTCTTAGAGGGTATCTCATTAGCTAAAATCATTCTTATCTTAGCAGGTACTAGCCCCGCCCACCCACCCTCGGTTTTCTTAGAGAATATCTAATTTACCAAAATCAGCCTCAACAAGTACAAGCCCCACCTACCCTACTCTCATTTCTTAGAAGGTATGTCATTTGTCAAAATTGGTCTTATTTTAGCAGCTACTAGCCCCGCCCACCCTCTCCTTCTTTTCTTATAAGGTATGTCATTTGCCATAATCAGTTTTATCTTAGCAGGTACTAGCTCCTTAATTAATAGAAATATAGAAAAAAGTCTAAAACTAAAGTTGTATGCTTCTTTTTTATTTTTTTTTATTTTTTTCAAATAAGATACCCTATATATTTTTACATATCCTGATTCACTTCTTCTTAGACTTTGTAATCAGAGTTTATTTTTGAAATTCCGATGCGACGTTGCCAGGTTATTCCATTTTTTTTTATTTTTTAGCAACGGAAGGATGTACAAAAAAAAAATCGCATTGGATTTGCTTTTAAAATCTGTGTTACAATATTTTGTGAAGTTATAAACAAAGATATGAGCTTTGTTCCGGTATAAATTGAGTCTTAATATACCGAGCGAGTGTTTATATATTTTTTTATTATTATTATTTTCAAATGTTGATATTTCACTTTTTTCAAATAGACCACCCTGTATTTGATTATTACAGTTTATTCTTTCTTTTGTCATCTGTCTTTTTGCCAAATATTTTCCATATTTAAAGTTGTTTTGCAAAATTTTATTTGTGATAACCTATACATTAAAACAAAGTAGCCTACGCTTGAGAAGTAAACATATGATTGGTTATATTTTTGTAAAGATTCTTGTAGAGCTTATTTTTGTGAGTTTATTAATGTGTCATACTTCAATCACCCACACTCTGCCACTGACTTTGATTCGAACGCATTGTGTTACTAAAACACACTCT